AAATTGAAGAAAAATGGATTCTTTCTGTTTTTAAGGGTTGTAACCTCATTTTTTTTTTTGTTTTTTATCGCGTCTTGCGTATCGGAAAAATTTTTTTTTTATGGCGTTTTTTAAAGGTAGATAAATACGCAAGAGTGGGGGAAGAATTCAGGTTTAAATAGGGCGTTACACAGTCGGATCGGTCATAACGATTTTATTGCGCTTACCATACGGTTATACAGAATAAAATTCGTAATTTTCTTTTGCTGCTTTCGTTGCTTTCGTTGTTTTTTCTTCGTTGCTCGTTGTTGCTTCGTGGGATTTCAACATGGGGAATCATCTTCAGGACTACGAGATCTTCAGAATTTTCCAGAGTGTTAATCGTCGGTTTTCTCCATCTGAACTATGGGAGGCTCTACAGGAAGTGGCTAAGATAGTGAGAAGACATCGAATCTCTAATGTACAATTACGTCGAGTTTTTCCGGAAATGTTGCTGGAGAGTGAAATGAGAAAGTTTGAAGTTCGGTTAAGGAATTTGGATTTCGATACAGCTTTGGATTGGAAGGAGAGTTTCTTTTGGACGCAGCTGTCACATGAAGAGACGAAAGGACCAAATAGGGCTCTAAATAGTGTGCCTAGGGTAGATCTGGGACAGTACAATAATCGTACTGCATGTTGGCGCTGTGGACAGGATGGACATCGGAGGACATCGTGTAGAAACATGCCAATTAAATTTTGCTCGAAATGTGGTCGACGTGGAATCTTCACTAGAGATTGCTGCAATAAAAACTGAGGTTAGAAAATATAAAAAATTTTTCTTTTCCTAAGTATTTAAATTTCCTTACCTCTTATTTTCCCATATAAATTTTCTTTTCCTTGTTCTCCTAGAAGAAAATTCTCCTTCGTAAATTAGTTTAACCTTACTTTAGTTCAAGTTCTCCTTCTCTTCGGATTTTATTTTCCTTTCTCCTTTTGATTGTCCCCTCTGCTCGACTCCTTCCCACTCCCCTCAGTGGTGTCTTCGTGGTCCGATAGAGGGCTCTTCTGGTATATATAACCACATCAGCTGCTCCGAAGCTCAGAATACACTAGACCTTGTTACCTGGAAGTACTTTTAACGACCAAGCTTTTACAATGGGAGTGAAATGGATTTACGACATGAGCAAAGCGGATCTGATGGTGGAGCTAGAAGCATACCAGATAGATTCTGAGGGAACTGTGGCTCAACTGAGGCAGCGTATGGTAGCTTTTGTTAGAGCTAATCCTGAAATATTCGATAAACCACCGGATCCAGAGGACTATAAGGAAGAAGACGATAGGTCTAGAGATCTATTGGCTCTAGAGGATCCACAAACTTCTGGACATCAACAACAACAACAACAACAACAACATCAACAACAACAACAGCAGCATCAACAACAACTTCAACAACAACAACAGTTTGCGGTTCCTTCAACTTCAAATCATCCAGTGGATTTTGTACCCTTGGGTGCATCATCACCTTCTTCGGGAGTTAGTGACACTTATGTGTTAGATTCGATGAGGAAATGGAGTTGTAATTTTGATGGTCATGATCCTTACGCATTTTTGGAGAGAGTAGAAGAACTCCAAGCTGCATATGGGTTCTCGGACCAACAACTTCTTCGTGGTTTCCCGGAACTTTTACGTGGAGATGCTCTCCTATGGTACAGAAACGAGATTTCCAGTACCCACTCGTTAGCTCAATTAATAGCATCGTTAAGGAGGTTCTATTTATCTCCAGGTGAGCTTAGAAATCTGGAGTCTCAAATTTCTAATAAAATTCAGGGTAAAAATGACTCAATTAGGAGTTATGCGCATTCTCTTGGAACTTTGATGCGAAGACATGGAGGATATAGCAATGATCGGCAACTAGATACTTTATATTGGAACATGCAGCCAATATATAGATTGCATATAAGAAGATCGGAAGTTGATAGTGTTAGTTCTTTGATTCAACGTGTAGAAGAGGTGGCAGAGATAGTTAGTACGATGAAGACGGAAGATAAGCAGGAGAAGACTCCTACTAATCAACTAGCAGAAGTGAGTGTACCTTTTGATCCGAAAACTCACTGTTGGAGATGCGGTAAACCGGGTCATCGGCGTAATGTGTGTCGCAATAGACCAAAGAAGTTCTGTTCCTATTGTGGGAAAGAAGATATTTTTACGCGTGACTGTAAGTGTCATCCGTCGGGAAACGACAAAATGGTCGAGCAAAAGGAGTAAGCTCGGCCTTACTAATCCCCGACTCCAGAATTTTCGTGAAATGCAATTGTGAGGATGTCTCTTTCTTCGCTCTAGTCGACACAGGTGCCGTCTCATCATTTATTAACCCCGAGACAGCAAATCGTCTAGCTAAGCTGGGTGGAGTATCGTGTTTAGAGGACATCAAGATTGCTTTAGCCAACGGTTCACAATATAAAGTGAACACTAGTTTTCAAATGAAGATTCTGGTCGGAAGAACCATGGTTAAACATAAATTTCTCGTTTTACCTGGTCTAATGCAGTCTATGTTAATCGGTATAGACTTGCTTAAAAAACTAAATTTTTCTTTATTAGTTAATAACCAAGACATCCAACTAGTTAAAAATGCTTTTCGTATAGAAGTATGTGAAGTAGGATCTCCTGGATTAAAATCAATGGATTTAGATCAAGAAAAATCTCTTGATCTATTATTGGAAAAGGAAAAAGCCCTATTCTCGGAAATTCAAGGATGTACACCGTTACTCAAACATGAAATTCGTTTAGAAGATCATACGCCCATTAAACAACGCTACCAGCCTAGGAATCCAGTGACTCAGGAAATGATGCGCCAAGAAACTCTAGAAATGTTGAAACAGAAGGTAATCAGGAAATCTAGGAGCCCCTGGAGTTCTCCAGTTGTAATGATTAAGCGAAAAAATGGAAAATTAAGATTTTGTATTGACTTCAGAAGGCTCAACAAAATTACTAAGAAGGATGCATATCCAATTCCCCGTATTACCAGTATACTCGATCAACTTAAAGGAGCAAAATACCTGTCAACATTGGATTTAAAAAATGGATACTGGCAAGTTCAACTCACCGAAGAAAGCATTCCACTTACAGCTTTTACAGTACCTGGTTTGGGTCTTTTCGAATTTCTTGTTATGCCATTTGGTCTTCACGCAGCACCAGCAACTTTCCAACGATTAATCGATCTAGTTATCCCAGCAGAACTCGCACCTAGAGTATTTTCTTACCTCGATGACATCGTTGTGACCTCGGAAACATTTGAAGAACATCTTTATCTCCTAGAACAAGTGTTTCAAAGATTACGTGAAGCCAAATTAATTCCAAATTGGGATAAATGTTTTTTCGCGAGAAAACAATTAACTTACCTAGGACATTTAGTCGACGAAAAAGGTCTTCATCCAGATCCAGAAAGGTGGACGCCATTTTGGAAATTAAACCCCCTACAAACATCAAAGAATTAAGGTCATTTATTGGAATGATTTCGTGGTATCGTCGTTTTGTTAAAAATATTTCTTAATTAACTGCACCGCTGATTCATCTTTGAAAAAGGACACTGTTTGGCATTGGGATGAGAATCAACAGGCAGCTTTCGACGAAATTAAACGGAAATTTACAGAAGCACCGGTGTTAGCATGTCCAGATTGGACTAAAACATTTTTTCTACAAACGGATGCAAGTTTGTTAGGACTTGGAGCAGTTTTAACTCAAAATGAAGGAGAAGAAGAAGTAGTTATTGCATATGCCAGTAGAACTCTTAACCCAGCGGAGAAAAATTATTCAGCAACGGAACTAGAATGTTTAGCCGTCAAATGGGGTGTGTGGAAAATGCGTCATTATCTTGAGGGTTATCATTTCATCGTGATCACCGACCACCAGGCTCTAAAATGGCTGAACAACATTGAAACTCCTTCTGGACGTTTGGCTCGCTGGATTATGGAGCTGTCACAATGGGATTTTGAAGTTCGGTATAAAAAAGGCATCGAAAATAGATTGCCTGACTATTTATCTCGTGTGCCGCTTCAAGTCTCAGTATTAAATAAATTACCATCTTGCCCCTGGTATCAACGCCAATTTAAATTAACCCAAGAACATCCAGACCGAAACCCGGACTTCAGGATTGAAGAAGGAAGATTATTTCATCATGTACTTCACTCCTTGGATTACAAAGAAACTCCTTATAACGAACAATGGAAATTATGTATCCCGAAAGAAGAACGTGATGACATCCTTAAAAAAGTCCACGACGAACCAACTGCAGGTCATCTGGGAGTCGCAAAAACTCTCGCTCGTCTGGGAGAATTTTTCTTTTGGCCTGGTATGCTTAGAGATGGTACTGAATATGTAAGAAACTGCGAAAATTGTCAAAAGAATAAAAGTTCTCAGCAAGCTGCTCATAATAAGTTGCATTCTACAAATGTTGAAAATCCGTGGGAAATGTTATCCGTGGATTTCGTCGGACCACTTCCGAGGACAACTTCCGGTAACACAATATTATGTGTTATCCAGGATAGATTTACGAAGTGGGCAGAATTCAAACCTCTGAGGAAAGCGACTACTGTTTTGTTAATTTCTACATTAAAAGAGATATTTTTTCGTTTTGGATGTCCAAGAATAATTGTATCAGATAATGGCAGACAATTCATTAGCAACGAGTTTAAAAATTTCTTGGAAGATTTTGGTATTACACACCGTCTGACACCACCTTATTCTCCTCAATGTAATCCAGTGGAACGAGTCAACAAGGTGATAAAGACGATGATCCGACAATTCATGGACGAGAAGAAATCGGACTGGGATCGCCATCTACCGGAGTTGCAGTTCGCCTACAACACCGCGCGCCACTCAGCTACAGGTTATACGCCAGCCTACCTTACCACCGGCCGTGAATTTCTACCACCAGGTTTCCAAGACTCGCGTTTAAACTCCCTAGATAATACGAATACCAATATTCGTATTAAAAAAATTCAAAATGCTCTTGAATTAGTTCGTTTAAATCTTGCTCGTAATTTTCATTCTCAACAAAAACATTATAATCTGAGGAAAAGAGAATGGTGTCCAATTATCGGTGAAAAAGTATTAAAAAGAAATTTTCATCTTTCCAATAAAATGCAGAAAAAAAGCGCAAAATTATTGGAAAAATTTAGTGGTCCATTTTTTATTAAAAAGAAAATTTCTCCTGTAATTTTTGATCTTAAAAATCTAGAGGGAAAAATTTTCAAACACGTGCACATAAAAGATATTAAGAAATTTGTAGACGAAAAGTCTACAGAATAACACTGCCTCTCGTTTCGTTGTCTTCCCCGTCGTCCCCGTTCTCCCCGGAGATAAGATAAGGATTCCACTTAAATCTCAGCATTTTTCGTCGAAATATTCATTCAGTTCCGAGAAACCTGTTGCGATGTCTCGTACTACGGAAAAACTTTTTCAAATGGAAATACGGAAGCAGATTAAAATCAATGCTTTTGATCTCGATAATTTAAATTATGTTAATGAAGAATTAGATTTCGTTTTTCAATCTAATTTCCATAATGATTTGCCGGAAGTTTCAGAAATTGTAAAATCGGAACTCGAACTTAGTTTTGAGCAAGGGGTCACTAGAAAAAATAATTTATTGAAATTAAAAGCACCTCTTGTTAAACCACCCCGGGTCGAGTTATCGGGAAAAGTAGTTTGTGAATCGAGTTCATCTAATAAGGAAGATTTTGAGGAAATTTTGATTAAAATAGCAGAGAAAGAAGAAGAGAGAATGCGTGGAAAAGAGACGGAGAAAATTAAAAACATTTTAAGGGATTCTGCGTTTCCAATTGTCCAATTGAAACGTATTCCGTCACCTACGTTACCGGATATTATTCTCACAACCAACAAGGATCCAATTTCAAAAATTAAACTTATCGCGAAAAATAAAATTGCTAAACAAATGGTGAAGTTGAAGCCGAAGAAACCTGTGAAGAAACCGAAGATTGCCATCATTGCTGCTAGTCCTAAAAAGGAAAACAAAAAATTAGTTAATTGTATTTTAAAATCGAGTGAGGTAGTTAAAAAAAAAAGAAGTTCCTTACCATTAATTATTAAGGAAGAAATACTTACCACGCCGGTCGTTTTAAAGAAGCCTAGTCTTGATACGTTGTCGGAAGGTTGCCCGCAAACTTATGATGATCTTTTTGCAAGTTTGCAAGAAGTTATCGACATCACGGAGGATTTGCCGAATTTGGATTTAAATGTGCTTAACGCCATCGAGGTTATCGACGTTGAACAGCAGTTTGAGACCGACCTCAACAATAATATCACCAACTTCGAGGGTTCATCAGAGGATTTTCCAATTCCGCTGCCTACGTCGATGCAAGGTCGTCCATTTAGGGTTGCGCGTCTCCCTGGTGGTCCATGGGTGCAAGTACCCTTAGGTACGGATCGGTTTCGCATTCCTGTTCCGGGTGCTAAATGGGTTCTCCGGATAGTAAAGGAAACTGGTCTAATTAAGCATGCGAGATTGGTTCCGTAAGTTGCACATTTTTTATTTTTATTTCTTTTCGTACGCTCATTAAAATTCGCTTTGAAAGAAGGGGGGATGTAACGAAGGTATATTGCAATGCATAAGCAATTGCCATAGTCGTCGCGCTAGCCATTGGAGAGAGCGAGAAACGTCGGCGCACGCAGAGTCGTGTCTCTCTCTCCCCTTCCATACTCGTTCGTCTCTCTAGCTCACGAGAGACCAAGGTACCTCGCTGCACGATCGTAGATCGTCAGTTCGTCTACCGTCATGGCTCGAGGTGCTCTTCTTGCCTAACAGGTACGAACTCATGGGCATTATACTCAGGAGAGGTGCTCTTCTGTGAGTAGTATGCCGACAAGAGAAATGTTCGTTCTACCCAGGTGCTCTTAGGTCGAACGAACTTTCTTTTACCAGGTGTTTGGCGACTAACCAGGGGTGCTCTCGTGGAAGGTTGCTAGACATTTTCTAGTTTTAAATGCTTTGCTTACCACCCCCGGTGTCCAGAGGCGCTCTTCTGTCCACCCGTGGTGACGACGGACACAAATTCTTATCCCGGGTGCTCTCAGGAGTAGAAATTGTGTTCCTAGAGTCAACTTAATAGATCAAATTTAAATTCACGTATTTTATTGTTCTGGCAAGAATTTCGGTAGCTTGCCGAAATTTTGAATTAACCCCTAGAAGCATAATGGTTAATTTTCTAGTGCGCTCAGGGAATCGTCGGTTACGTAAAATACGGAAACTAATTCTAGAACGGTTTCGCGAATAATTTGTTAAATGCCACGGAAGGCAAATAAGGGTTAATTATTAACACCGGGTTTTCTTTATTTATTTTACAGACTCTCAGGAGAAAATGGCAACTTGGTCAACGACAACTGAGCGAGACTCTAGGGCTATTTTATGTACTAAAATTCTCTATTTTGTTATTAATTTTATATTCTTTATTTTATTATTGTTAATTAAATTCTAACTGCTCTCTACGAACATTTTAGTTATATATATTTTTACATTTAATTTTATTCAATTCTTAATTCTCATTAATTTTCAAGTATTAACTTTATTAGTATTATTTTATATATATTATTTACTTTTGTTATTAAATATTATTTTGTTACAATATACTTACTTACGAAGGTTTAAATTTGGCCTAGTTAATGACTACACCTTTTCCAAATTTGGTCCTAATAATCTCCCTACTAGTAAATTATTGTTTTGATATAAAGATGGCGCTTTACGCCTAAAATTGTTCTTAAATAAAATAATAAGGTACCCGGACTCCATCCGGCGAGCGAATTCCGTAGCATATAAAAATCATATCATTACAAGCGCGACAGGAGGTATTACTGAAACAGCCGGAATTCTGGACCTTAACATTGTGGTCGATGGATTTGCTCAGAAATTCGCAGTAAAAGTCATGAAGACTTTGACACAGGACATCATCTTGGGCATCGACTTCTGTAAGGCCTGGGACATGGAAGTGAAGCTGAAAGAAGGATTATGGAGAGTTTTCCAAGGAGAATGGCATGAGTTTGGGCCAAGAGAAAGAGAGAAGGATGAACAACTAATATTCGCCGAATGTGCCGGTATTTCTGCGCTCGACGATGAGCAAAAGAGCATCATTCAGGCCATTGTAGACAAGTGGGTGTTGCCAGAATCGGAAGAACACGGAATGACAGACCTGACGGAACATCATATACGTGTTACGGACGAAACGCCAGTACAACATGGAATAAGACAGATGTCGCCAGCCATGCTGACTTGGGCCCAAGGTAATGCCGCAAAATTGTACAAGCTTGGGATCATCGAGCCATCAGCCAGCCGTTGGAGAAGTGCGCCAGTAATAACGAGGAGAGGAGAGAACGATTTTCGACAGTGTAACGACTACAGAGATGTCAACAAAGTCACAATCAAGGATGGATATCCACTGCCATCCATTGATTATATTTTGGATAAGCTCCGAAAAGCCAGATATTTGTCGAAGGTAGATCTCAAACTGGCATATCACCAAATACCAATGGCCGAAGAGAGTAAGAAATATACCGCTTTTGCCATACCTGGGTCAGGACTGTGGCAGTTTCGCCGGATGCCCTTTGGACTTATGAACGCGCCAATGACGTTTCAACGTCTAATCGACGCATTACTGGGGCCGAAAGTAGAGCCGCATGTCTTCGGATATCTGGACGACATAATAGTAGTCACAGACACTTTCGAAGAACATGCTAAGTGGTTGGAGTTCGTCCTAAAAAAATTGAATAAGGCGAAATTGATAGTGAATCCAGATAAGTGTGAGTTCGGGTGTTCCGAAGTGACTTATCTGGGTTACTTATTGGACAGAGAAGGTTTGAGGCCAGACCCGAATAAGACAGAGCCGGTGAGAAACTATCCAGAGCCGAAGAACGTGAGACAACTTAGACGTTTCTTGGGCATGGTCGGGTGGTATTCCCGTTTTATTCCAAACGACAGTGAAATCAAAATACCATTGTTGAAGTTGCTACATAAAGGCCGGACGTGGGAGTGGGAGGACGAGCAACAAGAAGCGTTTGAACAGCTTAAACAGAAGCTGACATCTGCGCCAGTCTTAGCCCGACCTGACTTCACGAAGAAGTTTACCATTCAATGTGACGCCAGCAACTATGCTATTGGAGCCGTATTAACACAAGAGTTTGAAGACGGAGAACATCCGATAGTCTACATTAGCCGAGTCCTAACGGAGCCAGAGAGAAACTACAGTGTGACAGAAAAGGAGTGTCTGTCATTACTGTGGTCGATCAAAAAGTTCAGGCCGTACATAGAGGGGTACAAATTCCATGTGATCACGGATCACAGTGCCCTAAAATGGCTCAGGAACTTAAAAGATCCGACAGGCCGATTAGCCAGGTGGGCCCTGGAAATGCAGCAGTGGGACTTCGACATTGTTCACAGACGAGGTGCACAACATCATGTCCCTGATGCATTGTCCAGACTGCAAGAAGATGAGGAAGAGTCAGTAGCCGCGTTTGAATCCATTGAGGACCAGTGGTACCTCAAACGCCGAGAGTTGGTGAGCCAGCATCCTCAGAGGTTTCCAGGGTGGATCGTTGAGAACGAAAACCTATATCGCCATCGGAGTGACCCACTTCTACTGCCGATAAACGGAAATGAGGACGGTTGGAAGTTAGTTGTGCCAGAAGAGTACCGAGAGAGGGTTATGGAAGATGGACATGCCCAAGCATCAGCCGGACACTTGGGGATTGAGAAATCTTACGATCGGATAGCACGAGAGTACTATTGGCCAGGCATATGGAACGATGTACACCACTATGTGACACATTGTCTCCAGTGCCAACTGCATAAGGTGTCCCAAACCGGACCAGTCGGACTGATGGGCCAGAGGATCGTCGAGAGACCGTGGGCCGTAGTAGCTGCCGATACGATGGAGTTTCCACCGAGTAAGAGCCAGTGCAAGTACCTGGTGGTGTTCCAGGACTTGTTCTCAAGATGGATCGAGGTGAAGCCACTGAGGTCAGCTGATGGGAAGTCGGTAGCCAGAGCATTCGAGGAGTTGGTCCTATTCAGATGGGAAACGCCAGAATACTTATTGACTGACAACGGTAAGGAGTTTGACAACAAATTTCTCAAGTCCACACTCGAGGAATATGGAGTCAAGCACATTACGACCCCTCCTTACCATCCACAAGCCAACCCAGTCGAACGAAGCAACAGGACTCTTAAAACGATGATCTCCACCTTCATTGGTGCTGATCATAGGAATTGGGATCTCCATGTACATGAGTCCCCTGCGTTCCTGAATTACGGAAGACACCCCAAGCCAGTGAAGAGCCTACGAAGAGAAGTCGAGGGAACGAGAAAAGTAGTTAGAATAGGGCCAGAAGAGTGGGTAGATAGAATAAAAAGGTTAGACGCGTTAAGAGATATGGTGGCCAGACACATTGACAAAGAGCGAGCGAGACAAACAAAGTATTATGACAAAGGTAGGAAAGAAGTGACTTTTAAAGTAGGCGACTTAGTACTACGGAAAAGCCATAAGTTGTCCAGTGGGGCACAAAAGTTCGCGACGAAGCTGGCACCGAAATACGAGGGTCCCTTTGAGATCGTTGAAGTTCGGTCGCCAACTGTGTTCATTCTGCGAGATGAACAAAGCCGAAGAGTCCCCAAAGTCCATATTACCGACCTGAAACCATACTTACCTGTCCTAAATTCATAAAATGTCAATTTCTTGTTGAAAATAAAGAAATTTTGTTTAGAGCGAACGAGGAGTTACGGCCAGAGAAAGGAGTCGAGGAAGAGAAAGAGAGAAGCCATGCCCAGGCAACAGAACACCCGAAGCCAGAGGTCACCGAGCCGCCACCGAGTGTCGTCCGATTTCGTGGGACTCGAATGGGAAACCGCCCCGAATCGGAGTTTCACGATGGAGACGTCCAAAGGAGTAGACCGTCTCTATTATCCTTCCCGATCACGGAAACGACAGCAGAGGAGCCGTTGGTGAGTAGGAAGGATACCGAAAGAAGAAGAGACGACGATCGTCCAACAACGGAGAGAGGACAGAGGCCAGAAGAAGAGGAGGGGGCAGCTGGAGGGCAGGTCACGTTCGTGACACGGCCAGAGGACTGGGCGGAGTTGAGTGTGTTGGAGGAGAGGGGAGAGAAGGAGAAGAAGAGGACGATTCGGCCAGACGGAGCAGAGGTGGTTGTACCTTACCGTTGGCCGGCAAACCAGGGCCCCAAAGAGAGTCTCGAGGCATACGAAAGCAGATTAGCCGAATACGAGCTAGAAATGTTTCTAAAGTCGAGAGAGCCAATGACGACGGTAGCGCTGGAAAAAGCTAGGGCCGGACAAAGGAAGGCGCTTCGAGAGAGGAGCGAAAGGCAGTGGATCGTAGATGACCTCGAAAGTCAAGAGCCCATGCCACGGATGAAGAGGTCAAATAGCCCCCATCCAGGACCCCCGACTACATCAAGCCAGAAGCTAGGAGCCAGACCGGAGGAGTCAGCTCTGAAACCGAAGACTAGGGGAATAGTCTTTGGTGGCTTAAAGTTGATTCCGACAGATAGGTTGATAGATCCCCCGCCATACAGTTGTTTTAACTGCTGGCGAGGGGGACACAACGCCGAAAACTGCCGTCAATCAAAAAGGTATGATTATTGTTGGAACTGCGGCCGACGTTACACCACAGTAGAAATTTGTCCCAGGTGCGCCAAGGCGTATGCACGCTACATGGGAAGGCCAGAGAAAAGGGAGAAGAGGGAGGAGGAAAGGCCAGAGAGAGAGGAGAAGAGGGAGGAGGAAAGGCCAGAGAGAGAGGAGAGGAGGGAGGAAGAAAGACCAGAGAAAGAGGAAAAAAGGGAGGAGGAAAGGTCAGTGATAGAAAGAAGTAGGGAGGAAATTGTCGTGAATGTGAAACCACCACAGCAGGAAGCAGACCCAATAGAGGGGCAGGAAGTCAAGGAACAGGAAACCGCCGAGGGGAAAGGAACCGAAGAGGAAATTCCAGACGATTTGGCCCAAAGGATTATAGAAATCACAAAGGCACTCGAGGGTTTACCAGCAGAAATCCTAGACCTAGCCATAAGACAACTCTTGAGGGAAAGAGAAAGTAGGCTAGAAAGGGGAGCCCGAAATTAAACGACGGTCAGAGAGAGGAGAAAGAGAAGGGCCAGGTAAAAAGGTGGAATGGCCAGGATAGAAACAACGGTCAGTGAAAAGGAGGAGAGGAGGGCCAGGGGAGAAAGTAGGAGGGCCAGAGAGAGTAGGAGAGCCGGAGAGAAGAGGAGGACCAGGAGCAGTAGCCAAGATTGTCATGATGATGACGGTCCTATAGAAAATAGTACCGGTCATGGGGAGGGGATTGTGACGATGTAATCTGTCACTTTCTTAAAACCCCAAATTCCGAATTGTGGTGCCACCT